ATTCTATTCTATTCTATTCTATTCTATTCTATTCTATTCTATTCTATTCTATTCTATATTGCGCTTCTATTGTATACAAATTCTAAATGAAGCCATGCATTTAGAAAACACAAATTAGTCAACTAAATTAAGGACTGTCTACAATTGTATTTAATTGATTGATTGACTGATTGATTGATTGATTTATGAGCTACCTGACTCCAAACCAACTCTGGGCGGCTCACAATATAATAACCATAAAAACATATCACACAACAAAGCAAGATGGGATCCAGGCACTCAACTCAAAACATAGGCAAAGTATTGAACAAAGGGCTCCATCCGTCTTAACCCAAAACCTGGGAGAACAATCAGGTCTTCACGGCCTTATGGCAGGCCAATTTGTAAACAGCTGGCTTTAAAGATTGGCAATAAGACTGTTTTGCTCTAAATCCTATCAAAAAAGTTAATTGGTAGGTAGATCTAGGATTTTATAATTGTGCATTATTTTTATTGTAACTGTAAATATATCATGCTGTATATTGATTTTTATTGCTTTTGTGTAATTTTAACTGCTGCTTAATTTTTATATTAATGTTAATTTTTTTTTTATTGCAGCTGGACCATATCGCAGGGGGGAATGCATTATAAATAATTTTGTTTGTTTGTTTACTTTGCTTTTCCATATAATCTTATCAGAAATTAGTATATTGGAATAAAATAATTTGTTATAGACTTTTTGCTGAAAATGGAAAAAAAACTGAAATGGTGATTTCTGGATTTAATGATTGAAAAAAGATTGAATAAGGAGCTGAAGGGATTATTGTAATGTTAAGGAGGGAAGAGGGATAATTATTTTGCTTGTAACTGCTGTAAAGAAGGGTGGAAATTGCTTCTTTAACTATCTTTTTCCCCCTTTCTTTAACTGTATTTTTTTCTGCACTTTTTTATTTTTCTTTCTTTTCTTTATATATTTGTCTTTCAGCTATTTAAAAACTTTTAATAAAAGTTAATTGTAAAAAGGAATAAAATAACTCAAATTATTATAATTGGAATAAATTTCATATTGGAATCTAATAACACTTGTTTATGCTGTCCTTTCTACCAAATTTCCTCCCCTATTATTACAGTACAAACATGGTCTTCTTGATAATGGCTCTTACCTTGAGTCTCTCAATGGCTTCTTCACTACCTGGAGCAAACATGATACGCTCATGGAGACTAGAGACTGAAGCAGCTCGACTGGACAAAGCTGAGAGTGAGGAGGATGGGCTCATTCCTACCAAGGCATTGGTCACTGTGGAGAGATTGTCATGCCGTTGACTCATATCTGCCACTCTACGATTATCATTATTGTTCTCAGAGTCGGACATGTCTATGGGATTCAAGGGGGGAGAAAGAAAAGGGAAAGATACAAGACAAGAAGAAGGAAGGAAAGGATAGAGAAAAGAATTGCAGTTGGGAAATAGCAACATGATGCAATGAGGAGAAAGGTAGAAATTCGACAAAGAGATATGCGGACAGTAATGTAGCTAGAAAGGACAGGGCAGAATCTTCACATTAGCTGGAGCATTCACACTACGCCCTGTGCAACCTCTCTTAAACACTGGTACAACAGACTTTGCTCATTCATGTGCTTTGGGGAAAACAGGCAGCATTATCTTTTTAAAAAAGAAACTCTCAGCTATCATTCCAAAGCCATCTTGTCTAGTAGCATTCTAGGCAGGGACACGTTGGTGATCATGTTCACTAAGGCCATGCATGAGGTATGAAGATTCCATACCACATGAATTATTTATTTAAAATCATTCATTCCAGTGCCATTTTTTAGAAGTGAAAATGTTTTTACATTTTTGAGGCATTGTATTAAAAGGTGAACTCCAAAATTCTAAAAAAAAAAGGGGGGGGAATGGGCAAATAAGAATGAACTCCAGTTGAGAATATGATAATGATATCTCACTTTCATGGCTACCTCTATGGTCCATTTGCATAAGGATGCTAGGAAGGGGTCTTGAACTGGACTAATTCAGAAACTGCTTGTGAATGAAGATGCTGAAATAGGCAGAAGTGCCCATCTAATACAGGGGGTATTCTAAGAAAAGATGTTATGATTATCACAGGAGGCATATTCTCTTATAGGACCAAAATAGACTGTCTTTTCTATAGTGATGCTCATTTCTAGAATGTCCTTCCCACTGCAATTTTAACAGATTAACAATACAATTTCAGTATCCAATTAACATTTAGTTATTTAAGACAGTTACATACCACTTCTCATTAAAAGCAGTCTTGAAGTAGTTAACAAATAATAATTACACAAAAAACCCCCAAAACAACTATTTTGGTCAACATTCTCAGAGAAAAAAGAAAACAGGCTAATAGGATATTCTTTTTTTTGAGTGATTCCAAAAAATGTTTTTATTGTGCAGTTGTTTATCTCAATCATGGAATTTGATACGGAATCCAAATAATGTTGTCTTCCCACTATTTCTTCAATCTTGTTTTTTCAGATCTTTACATCTCTTAAGGATTTTAAAATTGATGCATAATATTTTGTTGTCTGATAGTACAGTGAGCTACTTGTTTAGAAGGACCCTTTGATTTGTGCAAACCAGTTTAAAATGGATGCATTTGTAGCCTTCAAAAACTGTAAGATGATACCCAAAATTATAAATTTCAGATTTTTTATATTCTGTTTCCTTATTTGCATATTTTAAAATGGATAGATTAGGGAAACAAAGATACGCATTCCTCTTATAGTGTCAGAATAGGCACCACATATTTGAGATATATGAAGAAAACCTTGAGACTTTTACAGGACAGAAATCTCATTTTATCAGTGTATCATAAAATTGCCCTCAGCTTAAGCAACCCCTAGTGACATGGGCGATAAGGAAGTCGGTTGCTGTTATTTTTTTCCTAGAAATTGTTTTGACTTCCCAGTCTAGCCCAAAGCCTATAACTCCCAGATAGTCCTGCATCCAAATCCTCACTAAACCCTGCTTAGCTTTTCAGGTCAGCTAAGATCAAGTAGGTGCTGCCACCTGTTGAGTGTGTGTGTGTGTGTGCGTGTGCATGTGAGTGTGTGTATATGTAGATAAATAAACAGATAATAGATAGATGATATATGATATAGATAGATGATAGAGAGAGAGAGAGAGAGAGAGATTGACTATCTTAGACTTTTCTGACAACCGTTTTGTTCAACCTTGGTCTTGCAATACCAAACCATCTTGGCACATGGAGGGGCAAGACTTCAGCCTCTCAGTAAAGTAGATATCAATTTACTGGGGATGGAGGTGGGGAACTATAGATCTCTGACCAGGACTAATGGGTTAAAATAATAGAGACTCAGACAAGTGTTAAGCATGTGGAGTCATACAGAGTTTAGAATTTCAGTTCAATACATCATATATTTAATTTATATTTGATATTATATTTGGTATCTTCAGCTATGCTCAGCAGATTACAGTGGGAAGGGGCAGAACCTATATGATTTCACGGGAAAATAGACCTGAATGGCTTTTAAATATATAAATGTGGGGCAACTGGAAAGTTCTGTTTGCTGATTTAATCAGAGCGTAGGCTGAACTGCTCAAAATAAAGGCAAAGGCTCCAGGCCTTCTAACATGCCAGCAAAAGCCAGATTGCTTTGTCAAATGCAGTCAGCAGCTGAACTATTCCCGTAGCATTCCTAACAGGTACAACCAATAGAAGGGCCAAACAGGATCACTGGTAATACTTAGGCCAACAGTGGCTAAAGCAGATATTTTAGTGCTTTGGGGCAGGGTGTTTCCTTTCCCCTAGCAGAACAAATTCACTTGATCCAGTCCCAGCAGAAGCAACAGCAGCAGCAGCAGCACAAGCAGCAGGAAACACAGTTACAGCACAGAGAAAGGAATCTCAAGAGCAAACTCAAATGTAGAAGTTTCTGGAGTCAAGGGAGATGTAGTAGTCTACAAGATCACCAGCTAAAGTAGAAAGCTGCAGTGCCTCCATCCAAAGGCAGCAGGGCCTGGAATACATTTGGATATTAAGTTGATTTTTTCCATGTATACAAAAGTCCAGAAAAAATCTCTCTAAAGCATGCTCAGGAAGGACACATGGGTGTCCTTGGGTCTTTTGATAGAGAGAAATGCCATTTTTGTGGAAGAAGGTTCTAATATGAATACTAAAACTCAACAAACCAATATCTTGCCACAGCTCTGTGCACTTGATAGCAGTGGCTTCCCTAAGTTGTTCATATTTAGCAATATGGTTGGATTCCTGTAAAAGCCCCCATCTGTACTTTGGAGAAGGTATATATAACCATCTCAACACCTGCCTAAAAGGAAAATATTTTCCCAACATTTGCTATTGAATCCATTTCTCATGCTATACTTCTGTTCCTTTGCTTTGACTGAGTTTATCAAAAGCAGTGAAGCACACAAAATACCAGCCATGGGGAATACACACATTTAGGTCCTCCTGGAACAGGATTAGCTAAGAGAGATAGGAGAAGGGAGTGGGAAGACAAAGAAAACAAGAGTAGGTTCATCTTATAGGAATAAAGAAACAGCACCTGAGGGCCTTTCCACAAATCCAGAAACCTTGAGGTTTACTCTTAGACTTTTACAGAACCAACTTGCTTTCTTTACGTAGTGCAGCCTTCTTAAAAGGGACAGCCTTTCCCCTGTTTTATTTTAAATGGGAAGATGTGTGATCTGACACTGTAAAGAGTTAACACATAAAGTGCAAGCAAAAGAGTGCAGATAAAATAACTGGGAAAATGAATAACAAATTTATGAGAAGGGGAAGTAGAAACTACACTCATTTCTAGCAATAACATGGCCATTATCCAATAAAAGTCATGCCATTCAGTTAGCCACTTTTCATGATAGTTGATCTAGTTGGGGTGATCACATCTTCCTAGCAACAAAAAGGTGCTGCTCAAGAGTGATACGCAAAAATAAATAAATCCCACAACAAAATTGGATCTCTTGGTACAACAGAGCAACAAGATGCTCAAGATGCTTATTGCCCCAATAAAGAATTGACTGGAAAGGCCATGAGATGCATATCCTTCATATCAAACAATTCCTTCCTTATTTACAGCTAAGGAAGTACACACTAGGCTGTAAAAAAGAGATAATAAAGATTATGATTAAAAGAGCCTGTGGCTGTAGACCACTGAACATTTGGCAAAGCCTTCACAATATGTTGAGATAACAAACTGCTAGAATTATTATTCAGTATGTCCATTAGAATTGGGGAAGGTTAATGGTGGCTGTAACATGTGAAAATTTTATTGTCACTTCATGGTGAGCTAATGGGCTATGAGATTATAAACTGAAATCAGGTACCATGTGGAGGTTGGACCTGCAGTTAGTGGAAGTGAACTGAGAAGGACAAGATGTAGACATGCAGATCAGCCTTAGCCCAATCCAAAGCACTGATACTCAACATACTATCTATGATATCTCCCAGGCCTTGGGCATACAGCAGGTCTCTCAGGCGAGCCACTTCATCCTTAAGTTCCCTGATCAGCTTGTTGTTGGGATCCTCATTAATGACAGCATTGCACCTGATTTGCTTAGCACGGTCTGCATATCTGTGGGAAAAAAACATATTCTAAACAAAGTAAGGTCTGCTGAAAATGCCATATAGAATGTGAAATCTATAAAAAAAGAATGTTAAGATTAGCTCTTTCACCCAGGCATGGAAAACTAAGCTATTTCTCCTGAAATTCAGGAAATACTGTACTCTCAATCAATCAGTCAAGTAAGCAAGCAAGTAAATCACATCCTGTAGGTCTCAGTCAAAGCTGGCCCATGGCTAGAGGCTCTTTCTTCCTCTGACCTACCTGTTCCACCCCCCCCAGTGAAAATCTGGATCAGAGAACACTGAGGATTGTAACACTAGCCTTTCAAGCTGCCAATATTTGAGTTTCTAAGCCCACAGATACAAAACTTTATAGAAGAGAGATTCTCCAGGCATTGGTTAGGAAAGCATATTGAGTCTCTCTTGTTCCTCAGCTTTTCAACTCAGGAACTTCTGTAAAGCCCCTCAATCCAACTTGAGAGAGAAATTTCTCACCATGACCCAACTTTTAACCCTTATGCACTGCCAAGCATGATAGCACAATGAAGTCATTCAGGAGCCCATGTACAGAATATATATATGTTTTCAAACTATTCCTGTGACAGTGGTTCACATACTCAGTGGTTAGTTTCTCTATCCTAATAGTTCTGGTACAGAAATGATCCAATATAGTAAGTCTCCAAGCACATTTTCCCTTCAAGAAAATTTCAACAAAAAATAAGGATGATGCAATGAATTCAATCCTATTTCACAAAGCTTAGTCATTATTCAAAGAATGAGAAGTCTTGTATAAAGCTTCTACCTTAAGGTGCTGAGGGTCTCATCATAGTTGATATCAGCAGGGCTGAGAGCAGCAACCATAGCAGTCCGGGAGTTACCACCTATCCAGAGAACACACAAACACACTGACTGATACAAACCTAAAATTAAATACCGTCCACTTTTTGAGCTGTGTTCATCTTTCTCTTCCTATCTACTGTCTGCTCATTCATCCAGTCCTCCCATATTAAGAAGAGTCTCATCATTCATCCCATCTGTGTGCAAGATATTAGCAAGTACTCTAAGAGATTGAAAATGTTCTTGCTATTAGATTTCAGACAACCAACGACCTTCCTCACTGGTGGAAAGAGTTGAATAAAGAAAATTATAAAAGGGAGTTTCACGAAAGCAGAAGACTTGGGAGATTCATTATTTAGACCCTGATTGAGAAAAGATAGAAGTTGGGTGACATGTTGAGAAAAAGTACCTAGATTTTCTCGGAGGAGCCAAGTAAGTACTGAGTCTCGATATGGAATAAAGTCTGTCTTTTTTTTCTTCTTATTCTACAAGAAAGAGAGAATGCAACAGTGAAACTGATGTAAGTATGAGTCATAGGTTCTTCAACCCTAATACAAAGGAAGAAAAAGCAACCATCCGTTACCTTTTAAAGATAGGATTAATTTCCTTCTCTAAACCCAACTATGTATGTAACAAAAAAAGCTTCTTTTGTCACTTTCTAGGGAAAGGATGTGCATACTAAGTGAACATAAACTTATAACAATCATGAAACACTTAAGATTTTCAGAGCTCAGGAAAGCTTGCATTCTATTCAGCATGATTCTGATAGTAACAGAACTAGTATACCTACATAAGCTAGTTCATATTGTGCCTATGACTATCCTTTGCTCTTAAAATAGCAAATTTGACCCTTCAAAATAAATTTAGCCAGTCTAGAATTGTTATCATATAGCCATCAGTCAGCACAGGAATGAATGACACTGAGTTTTCTGGTTGGCAAAACTTGCACATTTTTCCGATGATCTACTACCAAAAGTCACACAAGGAACCAAAATAAACCCCACAAAATTTATTTTGTAATTATTTCTATCTGTGCACTCATACTAATTACTGGCAATATTGTTCTTTCTTCCTTTCATTGATTGATCCAGCCAGATCTCAAGCTGTCTAGCTTCTGAGCAACTGTTCCATTCTTTTATCTTCCAAAATCAGAGGTTTGTTCATCTGTCCCCAACTTTTGTTATTAAACCCTCCAAATTAAGCTTCACTTAGAGTTGCCTTCCCCAACATGATGTCATCCAAATGTGTCTGCTTATAATACCCACTATCCCATGATGTCAACATTGTAATCTAAAACATCTAGAGGGCACCAGCTTGGGGAAGGCCACTTTAGGGGGGTGTCTAGTGATCACATCATGCAGTAGAATTTAAAATACAAAATAACAGGAGCACTGCTTAAAATCCCAGATGGCTGATCCCATGTTTCTTCAGTATTGAACCTCTCCACAATATATGCTGTTTTGATGTGTCTAATTCCTCAAGGAGAATGAAGCCAAATGTGGAAGATTTTTAAAAATCTTTTTCCAATTATATTTTTCATAACACTGACCACTACTCTATTAGAAACATTTCTGTTGAGGTTATTGAAACACATAGGAAGGAATGTAACAGTTACAACAAATGAATATTGCATTATACTCCTGATGATGCTATGAAGAAATGAGAGAATAGTAAAGACTATTCCACCCTTGATTGTCTACACCCACAGCAGGCACTGTTTAAGAACTATTGCCACCAGCAACTCTTCATTTTCAACAACCACTCCACTCACTGGAACTGTCTGCATTTGTCTTCTGCACCCATCGCTTGCAGAAACTCTGCCCCTTAGGACCTGGACCGGCTGACAACCTATATTTGGACTCTTGGATTTCCAGATGATGACCTGACTATGCTTTTGCCTTCCCCACTTGGACTTTGACCACTTGGAAGCTTTGCAGGCAACCTCTCTAGAGTTTGGAATTGCCCAACCCAAAATCTTGCAATTAAACTCCTTGGTCTCTAAGTGTGACTGGCTCTGAGTACATTGATGATACTCAACTTTATATCACTATCCCAGGGAGGGCTGGAAATGCTGTAGAAGTCCTAACCCAATGTCTGGAAGGGTAGAAACAAGCTTAGACTTAATTCTAGCAGGACAGGGTTATAGTTTGTTCATAAGCAATCTGATTCTGATTCTGTGGTTGGTTATAATCCTATTTGGACCAGGATGCTCTGGCAACAGAGGCTCATATCCGTAACAGTTGTCCAAATTATTGTAATGTGCTCTACATGGGACTGTCTTTGAAAGCAATTAGGAAACTATCTGCAAGATGATGTGGTCCCATAAGGAATCCTTCTCTGTTGTGACATATAAACTTTTAAAAAATCATAACAGTTCAATGAAATGTTTGGACATGGACATCTCCAGGCAAAGGAGATCCACTCAGGTCTATCACTGCTTCCCCAGCACAGATACTTACCTTATTTGGTCCTGAATCCTGAAAATAAAGCAGATACCAATTAAAATTTCATGATTTTATATTACCAAAGCAGGTTTTAATAAAAAAAAAATTGGATCTGAAAACTAAACTGGGATCTTATCACAATCCATTATATATCTCCTCCCAATTAAGAACATTTAGCCGTAATTCAAAAACAGAGTTCATTATACTATTTTAGAGTAGTAGAGCAAAAGCAGACATGATTGAACCAGGAAACCAGAGTCCATATCCTCACTCAGCCACTAATTTTCAACATATCCTATTATCTGAAATTGCTGTGATGACAAAATATCTTCCCTGCTTTTAGCCAAATAAAAAGATGATTCAGAGAGACACAAGATATGCTGAATGTTTGTCACAGAATAATATTTGGGTGTTCTTCTTATCAGCAACCTTCTTGTATTACTTGCATGAAGGGCCATTTCATTAAAAGGGAACAGGGTTTTCTGCCCATCCTGATTTTGGTGTACTGAATTATGTTTAAGAAAATAATTAGCTGGATATGTGGAGGCTGAATTGCTGACCAGCTGAAGGGATATCCAGAAATGCACCAGGCTCCTCCTTTAGACCTTTACTTAACATAGTGAAATTAGGGAACAAAGCCAAGGAAACAGGGTTGATGGCACAGGTAGAACCTACAGTTCCTTGCCATTTAATAATGCAGAGCATCTTGGACTTCCTATGAGCACCATGGTGAGCTGATGTCTTACTGGCTTGCTGGCTAGTAAGACAACTTTTGCAAGGGAAATCATGGCTGGATGTTGGATCTGGGCCAACGTAATCTCTCCGAATCAAAGGATAGATTGTTGAGATCATCCACAAGACTCCATACAGCTGCTAATCGTGAGTAGACTGTGGAAACTAGTTTTACAGTCAGCTTATGAGTGGAGTGGCTGGGAGTTGGGATTACATCAAGCTCATACTCGCAAAGCAGCCTTATGGATACTAAGCTCAACCAAGCCTTATATCTTAATCACTTTTTTGGATTAATTTTTTTATGTGTTGTATACTGGACAGATTAAGACTCTTCGGACCAGCAAGGTTTTACTGTATTCATTGGTTGAGTCTCTGCCTCCTTAAAAGACCATGGTGTAAATTTGATCTTCAACTTTTTGAAAATATATGATTTTTTTTTTTGGACTATGTAGCAAAAGGGTGCTTAGTATATGGATTTTGGAAAATTAATAATGGATTAAGGTGCCAGAGAAATTTGGAATTATAGTTTTGAATTTATTAGAAGATATCTTCTCATGGGAAAATGGCAATTGTTTTTGGTTCTTTATGACAAGGAGACCTTGACATTTGGATATTACAGGGAGCAAGAGGACAAAGAAAATGGAGCAGAAATCCTTAGTGCAAACTTCTAAATACCTCTCAGCCACGTTACTGGATAGAATGGATAAACTGCTTGAGAAACTGGGCAGAACTTGCTTTAATGAAGTTGTAAAACAAGAACAAGTTGTAATGGACATTTATGAAATTAATTTGAAGGAGGACTTAAATGTAATGCAAATAGATCCAATGATGATTTATCCCCTAAAGGAAATGAATGGATATCAAACCAGGAAACTGATTTGGATAATTTTTTTTCTTCTGGATATACAAAAGAGCTCTGCTAAGGTCTGGAAAGACTTTTTTTAGAAGTGACAAACAAAAGGATAAACATTATCTAATGGATATGAGAAGGAATTCTGTTAAAATTCTGGAGGATTTTTGTTTGGATACTCAGATGATCAGCAAATTACCTCTGGGACTTTTTTTGAAGGGGTTAAAGAATAATTTTAAAAATTCAGAGAAGGTTTATAAGGTTGGGTTCTTTGATCAGGGCTAAAAGAGGAAAATAGTTATATCTGGCTCCCTTACTGGACTTTTGCTGACAAAGAATAATTGACGAAGCATTTGGATTTTGTTTTTGCTTTTTGGTTTTTGTTACTTAAAAGATTAGTTTTGGGGAGAAGAGACATTATGTTTTATTTAGAGATGGTGATAAGCTATTAAAACTGTTTTTACCTGCTGGGGAAGTTACTTTTTCTTTTCTTTTCTTTTCTTTTCTTTTCTTTTTTCCTTTCTTTTCTTTTTTTTTTGTAGTTTAGTTGTAAGAAAATGATCCCCCCAACTTATCTCAAAGCCTTACCATCTCAGCTAAAGCAGAGATCACCTTTCCCAAGGTGGTTAGTGATTTATTGATGTTTGCTCCTTCCTGTGAAAATAAGGATATCCAATCAATGTGGGACATTGAATTTTGATAAAAATTTTGCACAAAAAAATATTTCAGCAACTAACTCAGCAGAGCCACCAGGATTTAGAATTCTATTATACATTCAAATATTTCTTTATTTATTCAAAGCTACTAATGGATAGCTTTGCCATTCTTTCTTACCCTAAAATGGCTACTATGCATGTATGTGTGCCAATCTAGGATGGCACTGAATAGCTTAGTCTTCCAAAACCACAAACCCTTAGGATTGCAACTCCCAGAATTTCTAGCCAACACTGCCGGTTGGGAATTCTACAGATTGGATTCCTAGCACATCAGAAGGAACCAGGTTGTGGAAACCTGAGGCAAGCCAATCAAGTTTTGAGAGCTGGTGACCCAAATAAAAAATAACAGAGAATGAGCAAATATAGACAACATAAATTGTGCATGAATAATGATTGTTACAGGGAATTATATCACAGTTGGTTGGCCTATCTCATACTTCTGACAAGACTTTCATCATACAGTAGCCTTGCCTCATCCACATAATTTTATAACAGGGTAGATGTTCTTAGATAATAGTATTTTTTCATGTGTAGCCTTCCCTTGTTTTCCCAGTGCTTCTTTCATTTTCATTTTCCTTACCACAGAAAGGCAAACGAACGACACTAAGAAGGAAAAGATGGAAGAGCTGCACAATATATTTTGATTTGTAGTACTACTGGCTTTCTGTCAGGATGAACCCATAGCTTTCCAATGGATAATCTCATTCAACAGTATTAAAACTGAATGTGCTAATTAATCCTTTCTTCAGCAAAGACACATACACACACACACACCTACATAAATATCTAGCTTTGTCCAGGTTCCTTTTTTCCTTACCTTAAGTCTGGTGCCTTTTGCTCCTGTGGAGTCAGCCCGTTCACTTCCTGCAAGATCCACCAAGCTGATTTTGCTGACCTGAAATGAGCAAATCGATTAAATATTGCTTGATATCCAACACTGCCTCTCAGATTATTCTCTAGTACTTAGGCATGATGAAGTATTTTATATTTCCAATAAAGTCTAACCATTGGGAAAACCAAAATATGACCTGAATGTTTTAGCAATCACACAATTCAGAAAACAGCCATCTCTAGGGTGATCCCAGATCTTACTAGACTGATTTCCATCAAGAAAAACTCAAGGCAATGTATAACAAAGCAGCAGTGAAACAAGAATGCTTAGATACTTGTATAGTGAGGTAGACTCAAACGATAGCAGAGAATAGGTATTGTTTTAGAGATTAAAACTGCCCAAATTCTTAGCAATCATGATACTCCCAAGAATCTGGAAAGCACCAGAACATTGTATCTGGGTCACACAGGATAGAGTATTCGGGGTTGGGGCAAGTCTGATCTCTGGGGGATGATGTTCCAGAGGGTGGGTGCCATGGCAGAAAAGGTCTTCCTGGGTCCCACCAGATGACAGTCTCTCACAAATGGGGCCCAGAGCATGCTTCTCCTGCTGGAGAAGGACAGATAGACATCACTGGGGAAAGACGGTCCCGTAAGTAGCCTGGCTCCAAGCCATGAAGGCTTTAAAAGTAACCATCAGCACCTTGAATTGTACCCAGAAGCATACCTGTGTCCAACACAGCTCATACCCATAATTGTCTACACCGCTGCATTTTGTACCAGCTGAAGCTTCTGAATACCCTTCAAGAACAGCCCCACATAGAGGGTATTGCAGAAATCCAATCATGAGGTGACTAAGGCATGAGTGACTGTGTTCAACAGGCCTCCCAATTCAGGAATGGGTGCAACTGAAGCACAACACAAAGACCCTCCTGGCCACATCTGCCACCTACTCTTTAAGTAGGAGCCATGAGTCCAGGAGGACCCCCAGATTGTGCACAGGATCTGTCTGGGGCAGTGGAACCCCATTCAGAATGAGGTTTAGGTTTACCTTTAGATTTGGTTCCCAATATTAATCTATTATCACATAACTGGCATCAACATCAAGCCTTACAAAGCCCTTCCTCTTTATGTTTTAAAGTGTTGGCTTCTTCTGCACCAAACTTTTCCCTCCCATCTTCTCCTAATGCAGAGAAAAGACTGTCTATGGGTATGTGACAGAAATTGAAGAAAAATGTATTCCTTTTCCAAGCAATCTCTTAAAGCTATCTTCCCTTTGTTTCCTGTGCACTGATGCTTTTTACCGCTCTCTTCATTGTATCACCAATTTAGTCCAACTGACAGCTGAGCTGAGAGGCATTGTTGTAGCTTGACAGTAATTACAAGTGAGATGGTATCAGACTGCACACATGAGTGCTGTTGGCCAAAATATCAATGTATACTAATCTTTCAGCTCACCTTCTCAGTGGTGATGTCTGTCTCTGCATCATGTCTCTTCTGGGTGAAGATAATGTTGAAAACAGCATGTGAGCGACTGCTGGTTTCATTCATATTAGTGGCTGCCACTGTCCTATTGAAGAAGAGTTGCAGGGCATTTATTTATATTTCTTGTCAGGAAAGAAAGCTGACAAGAATAAGCAAAAGTTTATAGTATTCAGATGCTGGAAATATGAGTTCAGCACCTTCCATAGGGATTAGGACTGCACTTCTCAGAATTCATAACTATTATGACAAACTGCCACATTGGCTGTGAAATGTAGTTCCGATACATCTGGATAGTACTAGGCTGAATGTGTGTGCTTAGAAAGCATTCAAAGGGACGCTTTGCTAATTAACTGTTCGCCAGGCTGTTGAGAATTTATCTTAATTGTAGCCCTCTATGTCTAGAGGTCAACAGATAGGGGAAATCAGCAAATCAGAAAACAAGAAGAATCAGTAACAAGATGCATGACACACTGGCTCAAAACGTTTAACATTAAAATGTTTTTTCTCTTCTAGAAGACTATAATAAGATGCTCCAGAACTGCCCATCCTGTTTTACCACCTTCACTAATAGCAGGAAACACAAATACGTCCAGTTTTTGATGGAAGAATTTTTTCCTTCCTTTCTTCAACATCTCTCCATCTAGTTAGCTAAAGAATATTACATACATAAGTTCTAATGGGCTTCTCAAACTAGAAGATACAATGGAAATCTAGACAAAAACTGATGTTGGGCAGTTTAGAGCCTTACTGTATTGAGTAGCATATAAATCATAGTACTTAAGTATGTAAGTGAGTAAAAAAATAGAAACAAAAATGTAGTAATTTTACATAGGAGGAAAAATTGGAAGAAAGGAGAGTTAGAATTTGATCCCTACAAGATCAATATAAAGGTGTAACCTCCTTTAGATTTCTAGAGCTGGGAATCCTTGGCTTCTCATCTTCTTTTTGACTCCACTTCATTGCAATTCTCTCATTCCTGCTTGCTCTAGCTTTAGAGTGATTGCTGCTAATGTATATGTCCAATAGGATAAAGCAATAAATTGCTTACTCAAAAAAAACCTGGTCTTCATTCCATTTGGCAACATCTTCATAAGGCCAGTCATGGAGCCATAGTCCAGGGCCATTCTTGTTTTGAATGATTTGGGTTAGAGTTAGCTCCCTATCTCAGGACTACCAAAATATTCTCTTGGGCAACCTCAACTTCCTGATATCTTTATTACAATGAAATTCCTGGGAAGGATTTGAATAAAAATAATAACTATGAATGATTTCATAGGAATACCAGAATGAGATACATTCTCCTTGTAGTTTTTTTTTTTACCTTGCTTTGTTCCCAGAGTCCATTAAATCCTGAATGTCATTATACGAAGTGACTGCTAGTTTTGAGAGATCTTCAACGTATGGTCCAAGCAGTGGATGCTCCCTGACCCTCAGGTTTCCTTTATTCTTGGGATTGAGGAGGTCACGCACACGTTCACAGTATATTTCCATGTAACTCACCTGTAGGACAAGTTGCACATATTCTGAGAATGGTACATTTAAAATACATTTGGGCATCAAGAGAAGCACAGGAGGGCACCGACTGATACGCACATGCTGCAATTCACATCTTCCACCCAAAACAAAAATTCACAGGCATCAACAAAGACAAATACAACATAGCACTGTATAATATTTATGAGCAGACTTCGCAAATAAAGCCTGTAAACAAATAAAAGTTTAGCTATGCTGATTAGCATTTTGAGTTGCAATCCTATACACACTTACCTGGGAGCAAGACTCAATGAATATAGTGGGTCTCCCTTCCAAGTAAAATGCATATGATGCCCTCTTTTCCAGCAATTGCCCATTTTTTTCCTGGATTACATTTTATGTCTCTATGAACCCTAAGAACCAGAGCACTTTCCCAAGTCAATCCATATTTTGCAAATCTGAAAACCTAGTTATTTTTTGGCTGATAACCCTGCACTGCTTAATCAGCTCTCCAAGGAAATTAAATGGAGACATTGAGTAACTGAATAATGTAAACTACTCCATTGCAAAGGTCTTTCAGCCACAAAACACATCTCCCAAATATTGATTGGGTACATTTACAAAGCCATGCCCACTGCTGTCTTCCTGCCAGAAGAGAATTGGTCACTTCCAGTACTCTCCCAACGCAACAGTTCATGGGCTAGCAGGCAAGACTTGAGGAAGTAAATCCTCATTCATTTCCTCAAATCCTGCCTGCTAGCCCATAAAGACCTTGCACTCTTTATTATTCAAAATGGTAAGCCTTGAGCTGATTGGCAGAACTATATGCTGCCAGTTCCAATAAACTGCATTAGTAGCCATCTTGTTAAGTCCGTTGTGTGAACACAGCCAGGGAATACAGCTATTTTGTAAACAGTATGTAATCTTGTTTTTCAGCTTTCAAATAGGATATATTGAACTCTAGAGATAACCAGATCACCTGGTAGGATAGACATCCAGGAATTCTGAAGAATCACCAAGTCAGCCAGATCAGTGGATATGCTGATTAACACTGAAGGCTGACTGGGGCATTTACAGCTCATTAAGCTTTCTTTCTTCATGTGATTTTCTGGACAGCTGCAGTTCCATCTAACAAATATGCCATCCAGTCGATACTTAAGTGGCTTGTTAATCAGTATATAAAGCACTTCCATGCAAGCACTTTGCACTGCTCCAGAAGTAGCTCTAGTTATATGTGGCATCATGCTGTTGTTTGTATTTTGCAGGTAATTTATTTCTGACTCAGTTCGAGGATGTTTCAGATTGCACAAAAAGCTATCCTTCTATTTGCAGTCCTGAAGTCCTGTAGAACTTTCAGGCAGGAGCTCTTCTTTATCCTATCTCCTGGCTTTTGTCCTTTCTTTTCCCCCCTGCCTCAGAATAAACCACCAAACCACTAAATAATGTCTGTACAATTTCCTCCCAATATTCAGGTAAGAAAAGCCTAAATAAGTGAGTTCACTTCCAATATGCTTAATGAACTTATTTAGTTTATACCTTCAAAAATGAGGGGAAAATATTGAAGGGACTGAAAATTCTGACCCACCCTGATCACTGCATCAATGACCCTTGCCCAACAAATAATAATAATAAAGACAAATAAAATATGTAATAATTATCCTTGACTATAAAAAGTTTGTCCACACTTCCTGTAACACAAATCTGAGTCCACAAACCTGTAAAACATTATTACATATTACAGAGCTTTTCCTGGCAAGCACATTTTTCTTCAGCTTTATATTTCTGCAACCTCATCATAAAGTCTCTTTTGCCACCAAAAACTATGTATAAAAATGATATTGAGCATTGGAAAGTATCAGTCTGTACCTCCACTGAGTAGGACATATTGTCATTTGTTGTATCATTGATTCGGGAGAAGAGATCCTCACACAGCTGCATAGTATGAGAAAGACAAAAAGAGTTAAATATTCTGTAACAATAGTACTATTTACATCATTTCAGTTTAGAAATAGGGTTTGTAAACAGAAATCTTTTCCCCAAAATAATATTTGGGGAAAGGCTCTTTATTAACTGGAAAAAAGCAATTCAGATAAAAATGTAAATTCTAATCAAATCTTGAATTAACCTTTTTAATAGAGATGTGTGATATTGCAATAGGAATTATTCCCAGTGATCACATCTCAGAACTCAAAAATCCCTATTGCTTTCTAAGCTACACTTTTGTACAAGTTTACAAGTTGTCAATTTCACCTGCTATTAGTGGCTACTTCCAGCCAGTGACCTACTCAGAGGTCTCCTTGCTATCACAGAACATTTAGTTGACAACTAGTAGCCATTCTATTCACTCCACTCCTATTTCTTCTGGGATTTTTTGGTAATCAAGGATAAATCCTTCTTTCCTTTCCATCTATTGTTGTTCAATCCAACTCATGCCACATCTTTCCCTTCTATGAAGATGTCATGGGATTTTATATTTCCCACCCTTTTTCTGGTTGTCACTCATCAACAGAACTGCTTCACACACTTCTACATTTTTCCCATCCCAAACATTATTTTCTTGGATTTGTTTCTTACTTTGAGCTATCTCCCATTGTCATGATTACCTGAGGAATTATGCCTTGTTGATCCTTCTCTTGTTTACCCATCATTGTATATGACTTTCCAGCCCCAGTCTGGCCATAGGCAAAGATGCAGACATTATAACCTTCAAAAGCATGCTGCAACATCTCCTCTCCAATGTCCAGATACACTTGCTTTTGAGAAGCATAGTTGATGTCTTCAGGCTGTTCAGAAAAAAGAAATAGAGTTCACTGAAGAAGACTGAAAATGATTCAAGAGAAGACAAAGAAAAGAAGAAGGAAACTTTTTCTCCTTTTGCACAATTTAAGGATAGTCAACTTGAAGCCTCCAGATGTTCTAGTCTGTAATCCTCGCAATCTTTGATCATTGGCCATTCTGTCTGGGATAGATGATTGTTGCAATCCAAACACCTGGAGAACAATAATATCTTTCCTTGATGTAGTAATATATTTTTCTAGGAACTCTTCTAAGTCCATTGAAAATTATTTATATTTATTCTGGGATTCTGGCTGGAATGTGTATGTATGTGTGTGTGTGTGTATGTGTGTGTGTGTGTGTGTATGTGTGTGTATGTATGTGTATGTATGTGTGTGTGTATGTATGTGTGTGTGTGTGTGTGTATGTATGTATGTGTGTGTGTGTGTGTGTAAAAAAATCCCCTCTCACCTTTATGGGTGATATGTGTCTTCCTCAGTCTTGGGTCCTCTACCAGAGGCCTGGGAGTTTGAGGGTTCTGCGCAGTATCTTAGATGGCCCTAGCACTGCACTCTCCTGGACAGAGAGCTCTGATGTTGTCCCTGGGATCTGTTGGAGCCACTCTCCCAGCTT